TAAGTGAAAAATACTGTACGTGAAATATAAAAAAATTTTCTTAAAAAAGAGAGGAAGAATGAAAAAAACAAACTCATAGAAAAAGAGACTAGATTTGTAGGTTATCAGAAATATGGATGGTGGAAGGGTAGGGGAATTGGATAAAGGCAGTGAAAAGGTACAGACTTCCAGTTATAAGATAAATACATTCTGGCAATATAATGTACAACCTAATGACTGTAGTTAACACTGCTGCTGCTGCTGCTGCTAAGTCGCTTCAGTCGTGTCCGACTCTGTCCATAGACGGCAGCCCTCCAGGCTTCTCTGTCCCTGGGATTCTCCAGGCAAGAATACTGGAGTGGGTTGCCACTTCCTTCTCCAATGCATGCACACATGCTAAGTCGCTTCAGTTGTGTCCGACTTTGTGGGATCCCATGTACAGCAGCCCACCAGGATCCTCCATCCACAGGATTCTCCGGGCAAGAATACTGGTCGGTTGCCATTTCCTTCTCCAGTTAACACTGCTACAGGGTATATGAAAATTTTTAAGATAGTATACCCTAAGAGTTCTCATCACAAAAAGAAAAATTCCTTTTTTTTCTCTTTTTAAAAGTTTTGTATCTATATGAGGGCTTCCCCAGTGGCTCAGATGGTAAAGAATCCGTCTGCCAATGCAGGAGACATGGGTTCGATCCCTGATCCGGGAAGATCACACATGCTACAGAGCAACTAATAAGCCCACATGCCACAACTATTGAGCCTGTGCTCCAGAGTCCAGGACCCACAACTACTGAGTCCATGTGCCAAAACTAATGAAGCCTGTGTGCCCTAGAGCCAATGGTCCCCAACAAGAGAAGCCACCGCAATGAGAAGCTCACGCACGGCAACTAGAGAGTAGTCCCTGCTTGCCACAAGTAGAGAAAAGCCTACACACGCAACGAAGACCCAGTATTTCCAAAAATAAATAAATAAAAACCTCTTATTAAAAAATTCTATATCTATATGAGATGATGAATATTAACTAAACACTGTAGTAATCATTTCACAATATATGTGAGTCAAATCATGATGCTATGTACTTTAAACTTATACAGTGCTATATCTCAATTATACCTCAATAAAAACCAGGGGAAAAAAAATGAGAGCTAAAAGATAACTACAGTAAAAGTAAGCTAAATAAAAGAAAGTGTTAGTTGCTCTGTTGTGTCTGACTCTTTGCAACCTTATGTAACCCGCCAGGCTCCTCTGTCCATCGTTTTCCAGGCAAGAATACTGAAGTGGACAGCCATGCCCTCCTCCAGGGGATCTTCCTGATCCAGGGGATCGAACCCGGGTCTCCAACATTGCAGGAAGATACTTTACTATCTGAGCCACCAGGGAAGTCAAACTAGGTAAAGGGGGAGGCAAAAAGTATCACAGGCAGAGGAAACACTGTGTGCAAAGATTGGGATTTCAGAAAGAGCAGCATCCATGGTAGATACGATTCATAGCCTCAATATCTTTTCTTGCCCAGAATATGATTTCAAGTTTGTTCAGATATCCAAATAGATCTCTGGATAATCAGGAGAATTTTGATTAGTTTAAACTAGTGTGTGGCATTTCCTTGCTGACTATTAATTTGTTCGTCCCAATACAATTTTAAGGGAAAGGCGTAGTCCATGCTTCAAGGAGAGATTTTCCTTTCTCTCTGCTGCTGGATGTGATTTCAAAAAAAAAAAAAAGCAACAACTTATAACCCTTATTTCCCTTGCTACACCAGCCTTAACATGCCAAACTGTATAGAGTTTAACACAAGACTGAAATAAATTGAAATATTTCATAGTAGTAATTGAGTGACAATTGATTTCTATCATATCTAGAGCTTTCCATTCTTTGGACCTCTAATTTTAGTTCATATTCTCATTACTTGAGCTAGTTTGAGTAGGTGTTTTCTATCTAAAGTCACAAGTATTCTGACTGATAGAGTATTTGACAGGGTAGAAGCAATTCAGTATAACAAGACTACGAAGTAAAACAAAATACAGCTGGAGAAGTAGGCAGAGGCAAAGTCTGTGGGCCTTGTTTCTGCAGGCAATACACACTAAGTTCAGGGCATCTATATAGAAAGAGTTCTTCCACCAAATAGGCACACAATGAGGGATAGAAAAATATAGCAGACTTATGACATTTAGAACTTTGTTCTTATAAACACCAAAGCTCAGTCCATTTAGTTACTTTATTGTGGTTACACTACATCCATTTTATTTTTATTCTACATCAGAGATAAGTTATATATTTTGTGAGGGTTGAGTAACTGCCTTTTGAGTACAGTAAGGGATATGGAAATAATACTGGAGAGCTTGATACTGTTTAGTGGTCACAGTCAAATCCTAAAGGCCTTTAAAAAATTTTTCCAGAATGAAAAAAAAAATGTAATAAGGTAGGGAGAACTGATCTAGGAGATCAAAACCTTCCAATTACATGAAGAACAGATCAAATAAAATGAAAAACTGAAGTTTAGAAGAAAACTGTGAAGTGCTTGGACCTGGTGCACTGGGAAGACCCAGAGGAATCGGGTGGAGAGGGAGGTGGGAGGGTGGATCGGGATGGGGAATACATGTAACTCCATGGCTAATTCATGTCAATGTATGACAAAAACCATTACAATATTGTAAAGTAATTAGCCTCCAACTAATAAAAATAAATGATAATAAATAAATTAAAAAAATTAAAAAAAATGAGAAGAAAACTGTGAGCTGAAAAAGGTCAATATAATACAAAATAAATTAGGCAAGATCAAATATTTCCTGATTAAATTTTTTAAATTCATGGTAAGACTTATGAATATCTAGCTATGTAAAACATTACCCTATTTACATTACTGATAGTGTCAGGAGAATCAAGAAATACCATTTCATACCTAACATTGACAAGATAAATATAGGTATATACATGGCAGAAACCAACACAATATTGTAAAGCAATTATCCTCCAATTAAAACTAAATTTAAAAAAGCACTTTCATCTAAAAAAATAAATTTTAAACACAAAGGTAAATTTATAAGATGCTTAATTTCTTCCAAATACCTGAACAAAAACCAAAGAAAAATATAGTACATTAAATCAACAGCATAATGATATGAAAATATTAAAGCAAAAAGAGGCTATTGAGGATAAAGCAAATGTAAATGAATTAATGCCTCTAATAAAGTTTCAGACTGAATTGATAAGAAAATACTATTTGCAACTTATGAGAGACATCTAAAGTGCCTTAGAAGTTAAAACTATTTTTTAAATGAGAAAGATATAATAGAAAAATATAATAAAATGTATAGGTGGTGATGAATAATAATCAAAGAAGAATTCAATAAATGAGGCAGAGTCACTTTACATTGAAAAACTAGGATATGGTCAGTGAATAGCCTTACATAGTAATTAACAGTGTGGCCAGATTCTGCACTACTATTTTCACATGCATTAACTAATTTAATGTTCAGAACGTCACAATGTGGTAGACATGGTAATTATTTCCATTTTACAGATGAAAAACTAAGCACAGAGAAGTTCAATGAATTGTTCAAAGTACTCACTGTTAAGAGCACATATGGGATTTGGACCTAGGTCTTTATGACTCGAAGAGCACTGAGACACTACTTTATTTTATCTGAAAGGTTAGTCCTTGCTTACTAAAAATGCAAACTCCAGGAGTCACCTCAGATGTATTCTAGAGCTCTGAAATTTGCATTTTAACAAGTACTCCAGTCGATTCTTATGCATGCTAAAATTTGAGAGCTGCTGCACTACATGTGCTAAGTCCAAGAAACTGAGAGAAACACAATGGAAGTGGAAATCTCGAATCCGCCCTTTCTGTCTTAGATTAAGTAGAAAGAACAATAAATGATCTAAATATTAATCAGGCTGTCATAGCAAACTTAAAAAAGACTACAGAGACTATATATTACTTTCAACCACTCTTTTTACATTTATAAAATTGATCATACATTAGATTCTAAAAGAAAACAAATTCCAAAATCCGTTGATGATAAAGACCACAGTATTTGATCACAATGTGCTAAAACTAAAACTTAACAACAATTGAAAGGAAAAGACACAACTAGTTATAATTAAAAGCAAAACACATTCCTAAATAACTACAGATTGTCCCTAACTTAACAATGGTCAGACTTAAGATATTTTGACTTTACAGTGGTGCAAAAGCAGTACACACTGAGTAGAAACTGTACTTCAAATTTTATATTTTGATCTTTTCCTGGGCTAGTGATATTTGGTGTGATATGCTTTCATGATGCTGGGCAATGGCAGCCAGCCCCAGGTCCCTGTCAGTCAAGAGGTCATGAGGATAAACAACTGATACACTTACAACGCAAACACGATGCTGTTTTTCACTTTCAATACAGTATTGAATAAGTTACAAGAGATATTCAATACTTCATTATAAAATAGGCTTTGTGTTAGATTATTTTGAACAAATGTAGGCTAATGTAAGTGTTCTAACCACACTGAAGGTAGGCTAGGTTAAGTGAAGATGTTCTGGAACTCAGGTGTCTTAGATGCATTTTTGACTTAACAATATCTTCAACTTATAATGGGTTTAGTGAGATGTAGCTGCATGGTAAGCTGAGGAAGGTCTGTATTTAGTCAATTAAGAAAACCCAAAGATACACCTATAGAACTACAATGAGAATAATAAACATAAAAATGTTTGAGTCCACCCGCCAAAATGAGAAAGATAGAAAATAACAAGTGTTGGGCTCGTGAGTCCTGCGCCTGCCACGGCAGCGCTGAACCCGCAGGCTACTTGATTGTCCCTAGCGGTGGCCGCGGTTGCAGCCTCGGTACTTCGGCCCGGCCTGCAGACACCAGAGAGGGCGCTCCTGCCGTGGCCATGACCACCCGGAGCAGAAACGGCCTGCACGGGGACACACAGACCTTGGTAGTCAGCCCGGGAGTGGTTGCAGGGGTTGGCATCTTGGCCGCCTTCCAGGGGAGTGAGTTGGCAGCACCCGGCTGGCCCCAGCATCATGCCCGCTCTGTCCACAGGCTCAGGGAGCGACGCAGGTCTGTATGAGCTGTTGGTGGCTCTGCCAGCCCAGATGCAGCCACACATGAACAGCCAGAAAGACCCGACCTTCCTCTGGGATGTGTTCGGTGAAAAAAGCCTGCATTCACTAGTTAAGATTCATGAGAAACTTCACTACTAGGAGAAACAGAACCCCATGCCCATCCTCCAGGGCGCGGCAGCCTTGGCCGATGACCTGGTGGAGGAGCTTCAGAACAAGCCAATAAACAGTGAGATCTGAGAGGGGCTGAGAAACTACTGTCAAAACCCAAGGTGAAGGCTTTGCTGTCTGTGCATGACACTGTGGCTCAAAAGAATTATGATCCTGTGTTGCCTCCTATGCCCGATGACATTGATGATGAGGAAGACTCGGTGAAAATCATCTGCCTGGTCAAAAATAGAGAACCACTGGGAGCCACTATTAAAAAGGATGGACAGACTGGGGCCATCGTGGTGGCCAGGATCATGAGAGGATGAGCTGCAGACAGAAGTGGTATTATTCAAGTTGGCGATGAATTTAGGGAAGTGAATGGGATACCTATCGAGGGTAATGATCCAGGAAATAATCTCGATCTTGGCTCAGTCTCAGGGTGCAATAACATTTAAGATTATACACAGCATCAAAGAAGAGGCACCATCGAAGGAAGGCAAGATGTTTATCAAAGCTGTCTTTGACTACGACCCTAATAAGGATAAAGCAATTCCATGTAAGGAAGCTGGGCTTTCTTTCAAAAAGGGAGATCTTCTTCAGATTATGAGCCAAGATGATGCAACATGGTGGCAAGCAAAGCATGAAGGAGATGCCAACCCCAGAGCAGGACTGAATCCCTCTAAACCTTTCCAGGAAAGGAGACTGGCTCTGAGACGACCAGAAATATTAGTCCAGCCCCTGAAAGTTTCCAGTAGGAAATCATCTGGTTTTAGAAGAACTTTTCATCTTAGTAGGAAGGATAAGAAAACAAGTAAGTCCATGTATGAGTGCAAGAAGAGTGACCAGTATGACACAGCCAATGTGCCCATGTATGAGGAAGTAACACCCTATCACCAGTAGACGAACGAGAAATACAGACTTGGTTGGTCTTGGTTGGTCCTGTTGGAGTAGATTTGAATGAAGTGAAACGAAAGCTGCTGATCAGTGATACACAGCAATACGGTGTGACAGTGCCCTATGCCACCAGACCAAGAAGAAGCCAGGAGAATGATGGTGTTGAATATATTTTCATTTCCAAGCATTTGTTTGAGAGGAAATAAGTTTATTGAATATGGTGAATATAAAAACAACTATTACACCACAAGTATAGACTCAGTTTGGTCTGTCCTGGCTAAAAACAAAGTTTGTTGGATGTTCAGCCTCATACAATGAAGCACTTAAGGATACTAGAATATAAGCCATATGTGATATTTATAAGGCCTCTGTCGATAGGGCATTTGAGGGAGACAAGAAAAAATGCAAAGATTATGTCAAGCAGAGACGACCAAGGTGCTGCGAAGCCCTTTATGGAAGACAGCTTTCAAGAAATGATTAAATCTGCCCAGATAATGGAGAGTCAGTATGGTCATCTTTTTGACAAAACTATAGTAAATGATGGCTTAAAGCTCAACATTCAGAAATCTAAGATCATGGCATCTGGTCCCATCACTTCATGGTAAATAGATGGGGAAACAGTGGAAACAGTGGCAGACTTTATTTTTTTGGGTTCCGAAATCACTGCAGATGGTGACTACAGCCTTGAAGTTAAAAGACACTTGCTCCTTGGAAGAAAAGCTATGACCAACCTAGAAAGCATATTAAAAAGCAGAGACATTACTTTGCCAACAAAGGTCCATCTAGCCAAGGCTATGGTTTTTCCAGTAGTCATGTATGGATGTGAGAGTTGGACTATAAAGAAATCTGAGCCCTGAAGAATTGATGCTTTTGAACTATGGTGTTGGAGAAGACTCTTGAGAGTCCCTTGGACTGCAAGGAGATCCAACCAGTCTATCCTAAAGGAAATCAGTCCTGAATGTTCATTGGAAGGACTGAAGCTGAAACTCCAATACTTTGGCCACCTGATGTGAAGAGGTGACTCATTGGAAAAAACCCTGATGCTGGGAAAGATTGAAGGTGGCAGGAGAAGGGGTCGACAGAGGATGAGATGGTTGGATGGCATCACCGACTCAATGGACATGAGTTTGAATAAACTCCAGGAGTTGGTGATGGACAGGGAGGCCTGGCATGCTGCAGTCTATGGGGTCGCAAAGAGTCGGACATGACTGAGTGACTGAACTGATAGTAAATGATGATCTTGCTGTGGCCTTCAATGAGCTGAAAAGAACTTTTGACAAATTGGAGACAGATACGCATTGGGTTCCAGTGAGCTGGTTACATTCGTAACTAAGGGAAGTTTTCCTAATTATCTTTTTTTTTGTAGAGTGCATGATTAAATCAGTTACCATTTTGGTGGTAGGGTTTTTTAAATCTATATCACTGTTAGAGATGTACAATCTTGGTTAAAACTGAATATTTGTTTTGTTTGTATCTTTTTACAGTCTTATTTCAAACACAGTGTTTGAGTATGAGATCCAGAATTAAAATGTGCTCAGTACTGTGTTCTGAGCAGAACTTTGAACCTTCTGGCTGTCTTGAATACAGAGCTCTACCTCCAAGAGGAGATTGAACTTTTTATAGAGAAAGTTAGCTAGAGAATATACATGGGTGTCCAGTGCTTCCACTGGTCTCAGATGTGGTCGCTGCCTTTGCATTTGCATGTTAGCCATTGAAGATGCTAAGCTTACAGAGTTGAGCAACTCAAGACAAGACAGTTTAGGTGTATTTTGGGTGGATCATCGTAGATGCACCTGGACTGGCATTAAGGTGGAGTCCTCTTACTATCCTAAAAGTGCAACCGTTTCTCTTACATAGATGCAGTTTAGTCACAGTGTGTGCACTCAAGAATCTCTCTTTAAAGGATACTAGTGATCTTCAGTGAGTAAATTATATAGCTCAAAATACTAGAAATGTTCATAATTGTATAAGAGAATATGTGTCTCATTCTTGCATGCAATAAGACCCTGCCACTCAGAATCATCGCATCTGTGACTTTCAAACAGAAAAAAAATTTTTCTTTTGATTTGTAAAGAGAGTTTAGATGTCCTGTTTAAAGAAAAATAAGTGTAGTGAAATTTTATATATTTTTATCAAGTATTTGAAAGGCATATTTTTAAAAATTATCATATGAGGCTATTCATAAAACAAATTGTATGTAAAGATGTCGTAATTTAAAATAGTAGCTTTTTAAGTCAGGGTCAACATTCCATGTAAATATTTTGACCTTTGTTTGTACTCAGATCCACATGTGTGCTCTGTGCACATCTGATAACATGACTCACCGGGTTTCCTTCATATGTGTGAGATTTTATATCTGATACACAATCGCAGCTAAATAGTTAGATAACCAATGTTACCTGACAGCCTAATCCAAACAGCAAGTTCTAAGTTAATTAAGTAAATAGCAACCAATACAGTTTAAAAAGGGGTTTGGGATTGCCAAGTCTAATACTGAAGCCATACTTCATGGTTGTGTGGCTGGTCTAAGAAAGTATAAGTCTTCCTTGGATGGTTTGGGTAGGATATTCTTTTTGAACACTGATTGAAATTTCCAATAAATTGACTTCCTAGGGAATGAATTATAATTTAGGTAGTCCGAATTCTTTGTTCAGAAATAGAACATGATTTGTTTTTGTTTTTTGCCTCAATTCTTTACTGTGGAGGTAGAGATCATGTAATAAAAATAGAATCCCTTTTGGTGGTGGGGGTGGTGATGGAAGTGTTTAGAAATATAATTGTCCAATCTCTCTCCCTTTTTTACACTAAAGCTGAACAATATTTTTTAAAATAATGGAAAGGGGAAATTCAGCAATTTGAAAAATCTTTCAGCAGTAGTACACATACGTGGCCTTGCTGGTGACGTCCACATGGCCATCCTGATGCTTAGAAAGAGATTCAGTCTCTCTTTAATTTAGTAAGGCAGGGCTAGTAGCTCCATGGGCTTGGTGATAAGTGTTGCAAAGGGCTCTTGATCCTGTGCTTGGTGTACCCCTGGATCCCTCTTGAGGGAGGAGAGACTGGTTCTTTAGGCAGCCTGCTCCCAAGACAATGTCAGCCACTATTTGAGAGAACAGGAATATTTATTTTTTTAAGTCCAAATATTTAATATCCAAGATTAAGAAGATAAGTCTGTATTCCCATCATTAACAAACTGGACTCTGCTTTTTTTTTTAAGGTAAAACTGAAATACCATTTTTTACCATTATTTTACTTAGCAGTATAGACATTATTGATATCTTTAAGGCTGATCTTCCTGGTATCATGTAATGACTGAATGTATCTAACTTGTAATAATTTAAAGTTGACAAGCATATAAAGGAAAACTATGTTGTTAAAAGTTTCCTGAAGATATAGATTTTTATTTATTTTCTTTTTGACTAGTAAGAGTTTATAAATAAAAGGAATGGAAAACCTTTGAGCATAATAAAGTATCTTCAAATTAAAAAAAAAATAACAAGTGTTGACAAACTATAGAGCAAGTGAAACTGTCACTCATTTCTAATGGGAATGAAATAGGTGTAATCATGTCAGAAAATGCTTTGCAGTATCTACTTATGCTAAAATTATATGTGTGCTCTATGATACAGCAATTCCTCTCTTATATTAGTAACCAAAACACTGTGTTCAAGTGCTCATGCATACTCAGTTGTGCTGACTTTCTGCTGCCCCATAATCTGTAGCCTGCCAGGCTCCTCTGTCTATGAGATTTCCCGGGCAAGAATATTGAAGTGTCTTGCCATTTCCTACTCTGGGGGAAATCTTCCTAACCCAGGGATTGAACCTGTGTTTCCTGCATTGACAGATTCTTTACCATTGAACTACCTGGGAAACCTGTTCATGTGCTCAGTTCAGTTCAGTTCAGTTCACTTGCTCAGTCAGGTCCAACTCTTTGCGACCCCATGGACTACAGCACGCTAGGCCTCCCTGTCCTTCACCAATTGCTGGAGTTTGTTCAAACTCATGTCCATTGAGTCAGTGATGCCATCCAACCATCTCATGCTCTGTTGTCCCCTTCTCCTCCTGCCCTCAATCTTTCCCAGTCCTTTCAAATGAGTCAGCTCTTCACATCTGGTGGCCGAAGTATTGGAGTTTCAGCTTCAACATCAGTCCTTCCAATGAACACCCAGGACTGATCTCCATTGGGATGGACTGGCTGGATCTCCTTGCAGTCCAAGGGACTCTCAAGAGTCTTCAACACCACAGTTCAAAAGCATCATTTCTTTGGTGCTCAGCTTTCTTTATAGTCCAACTCTGACATCCATACATGCCTACTGGAAAAAACCATAGCCTTGACTAGACGGACCTTTATCAGCAAAGTAATGTCTCTGCTTTTTAATATGCTATCTAGGTTGGTCATAACTTTCATTCCAAGGAGTAAGTGTCTTTTAATTTCATGGCTGCAGTCTCCATCTGCAGTGATTTTGGAGCCCTCCCAAAATAATGTCAGCCACTGTTTCCCCATCTATTTGCCATGAAGTGATGGGACTGGATACCATGATCTTAATTTTCTGAATGTTGAGTTTTAAGCCAACTTTTTCACTCTCCTCTTTCACTTTCATCAATAAGCTCTTTAGTTCTTCACTTTCTGCCATAAGGGTGGTGTCATCTGCATATCTGAGATCATTGATCATTCTCCCAGCAATCTTGATTCCAGCTTGTGCTTCATCCAGCCCAGCGTTTCTCCTGATGTACTCTGCATATAAGTTAAATAAGCAGGCTGACAATATACAGCCTTGATGTACTCCTTTTCCTATTTGGAACCAGTCTGTTGTTCCGTGTCCAGTTCTAACTGTTGCTTCCTGACCTGCATACAGGTTTCTTAAGAGGTCAGGTGGTCTGATATTCCCATCGTTTCAAAATTTTCCACAGTTTATATTGTGATCCACACAGTCAAGGGCTTTGGCATAGTCAATAAAGCAGAAATAGATGTTTTTCTGGAATGCTCTTGCTTTTTTGATGATCCAATGGATGTTGGCAATTTGATCTCTGGTTCCTCTGCCTTTTCTAAAACCAGCTTGAACATCTGAAAGTTCACGGTTCACATATTGCTGAAGCCTGGCTTGGAGAATTTTGAGCATTACTTTACTAGAGTGCAATTGTGTGGTAGTTTGAGCATTCTTTGGCATTGCCTTTCTTTGGGATTGAAATGAAAACTGACCGTTTCTAGTCTTGTGGCCACTGATGAGTTTACCAAATTTGCTGACATATTGAGTGCAGCACTTTCACAGGACCATCTTTAGGACTTGATATAGCTCAACTGGAATTCCATCACCTCCACTATCTTTGTTCTTAGTGATGCTTCCTAAGGCCCACTTGACTTCACATTCCAGGATGTCTGGCTCTAGGTGAGTGTGAGTGATCACACCATTGTGATTATCTGGGTCATGAAGTTCATATGCTCACCAGCCCCCAAATATAAATTTCCTAAATACTCAATTTAGAATGGATAAACGAATTGTGGTATGCTTACACAACTGAATATTACAGAGTAAGAGACATAACAACCTACAGCTAACTATATGAAAAAATACAGATGAATTTTATAAATATAATGTTGCATGAAAGAAAGAACCACATACAAATGCATACATTCTGTATAACTACAAAAACAGTCAAAGCTAATCTATGCTGTTATAAATTAAGACAGTGGTTACTTTGGTGGTAGTGACTAGAAAGTGTTCTGAAAGGGGCTTCTGGGATGCTGGTATTATACATGTGTAAATAGAGAGCATGATGCAAAATTATTTATGTTTCTACTTTTAGAAAATATATATTTTTGAATATACATGAAAACATTCGTGTAGTAGACAGAATAATGCCTGCCTCCCCAACCAAAGATGCCTATCCTTCTCTCTCCTAGAAGTGTTAGTCACAAAATTCATGTTGCTGTCCAAGGGATTCTCCAGGTAAGAATACTGGGGTGGGTTGCCATTCCCTTCTCCAGGGGATCTTCCCAACCCAGGGAACAAACCCAAGTCTACTACCTTGCAGGTGATTCTTTACTGTCTGAGTTGCCACAGAAGCCCCTAAAGATGCCTTTGAGTGCCCTGATTTTCAAAACCTGTGAGTATGTTCCCTTACGTGGAAGAAAGAACTTTGCACATGTGATTATGTTTAAGGGCCTTAAAATGGGGAGATTATCCTGGATTATTTGAATGAGCTCAATCTAATAACATGGGTCTTTCAAAGCAGAGAATCTTTCCCCTCTGTGGTCAGAGGGAGCTATATTTATGGAAAGCACAGAGAGATAACATTGCTGGCTTTGGAGGAAAGAGAACTTTAGCCAA